CACCACCTTTTCGTTTTTTTTGCAACAAGCAATTGATATCATAGGCAAGGTATATATACAGATTATGTGATGCAATATTTGTTTTTAGTATTGCTCAGTCACTCTCTATGGTAGAGGCTAAATCTGAATACGCCTTCCCCCAAATTTTCGACCGAACAGTTTAATCCATAAGGCAGTGTGGCGGCGCTTTGAGTCACTGGTTGATTAGAAGTGATGTCCTATCGGTCTGATCAAACGGTTTCCGAAGCCGCTTCTACATCCGGATTACCTAACATTCTTCATTATCCTATGGATCCGGTGAGGGATCCAAATTGAGGAGGGACAAACGGGAAACATAGAACAGAGAGAGCGAATGAATGAATGAACAAATTTTGTTTAACTGTCGATCATGAACCGCGCAGCAATCGTGCTAGTGACTTCTATTCTGAGCTGCATCTCTCAGTGCCTCTAACCATCGGCAATCCTCATCCCTGTGGTCCCAGCGTGGAACGCGAGCTGCACCACCCGAAGCCAATTCTGAAGCTTACTTCTTCACACCTCAACGCCAGGTCATGGTCCAATCGCCGCGAAGCTTCTTCAAACCTTGTCCAGCACGTACAAAGAGAGCAGGGAGAAGCAGACGGTGGGCAGGCATGTCCAAAACGTGACCAAACCATCGGATGCGCTGTAAAGCGATTAGTTCTTTTAGAGAACAACCATCTGTACCCTGCACAAAACGACGAATTTCTTCAATTCTTATCCAATGTTTCCACCAGACACGAGCAATGCTTCGAATGCATCGGTGGTTAAATACAGACAGTCAGTTAGCATCCTCAACGCGGCGATGTACACTCTTCCCTTAAGAGACAGCCGGATGTTATGGCGGTGTAACAGGTGTCGCAGGTTGTCAGAAGCTGCTATAGCTTTCGCTATTCGTTAGTCGATCCCTTCCCCAAACCCACCTCCATCTGTGATTAAGCTCCCTAGGTACTTAGAGCTCTCGACCATTTCTATCTGACCACCAGAAGGGTTAGAGCAGGCACAGGCTCCTGCCAGTCTTGAACAAGCACTTAGCACTTGGATGGCTCAAAACACATCATATGGATACTTCAATCACCATGTGGTTTAAAGCTTTTTAGACTTCCTGTACATTGTCACCCGACAAGGCGTTATCATCGACATATTCTATCTCAAAGACTCTGTTTCCTGAGGAGATTTCGATTCCACCTTTCGCTAGAACGGACAAAGCATTCTGTAGACCATCTTCTATGATAAAATTGAAAAGGAATGAGGATATAGAGTAGCCTTGTTGCACTCCACTGAAGACAGCAAAGGGTGACAAAAAGTGGTCATAGACCCTAACCCAACCAGAGATATGGCGATACAACTTGAGGATCGACACATGCTTCCCAGGTACTCCCTTTCTAAACGGACAGTTCTATGGTGCGATCCTATCGACAAATTCGAAGGCCGCACTAATGTCCATGAACACAATGATCGATCGTCTGTGGTTTGCACGAGGAGGAGACCTGTTAGTGTGCCGAATTTTAGAGAGCAGAGCCACCAATTCTCTAACAAGCGTTACTCCACCATCTTGAACTAAAGCTGTGGAGGGTCATCGGAACCAAGTGGCATACCGATGGTTAGATTATTTGAAGTTCGTACTGGAGAAAAATAGACGGTGGTCAGAGCATAGAGCCGACAGCCGTTCCCCGTTTTATGTGCGACAGAACGGGCCTCGCAGACGCGCCTCACTCGAAGTTAGCCAACTTACTCTAGCTTTCATATCTCCTGCCAAAATCATGATATCAGCCCGATTCACTTTAAGCAAGAGGTCTTGTAGCCTCTGGTAGAAAGAATATTTGACTGTATCTGGGTTGCAGTTCGTGGTTGCGTACGCTGAGACGATAAACAAGTTGCGTCTTTCGGAGCTATGACTATTTACTTTGCACGAGCCTCTAAGTCTCACTTTGCATAACCTACTGTCAACTGGGATCCAATCCGCTTCAGCTCCCTCGCTGAGAGCTACGCCAACGCCAGCAAGCTCAGAAGCCGCAGCCTCAGGGTCCCCGGCAAGACATCAGTCAAAACATCGCGGATGGGTTTGATGTGGACATCAATCGGTTGTTCGAGCCTTAGTCTTAAATGCAAATTTTTCTACACGCACATCAATGTGGAGGATCTCTTGGATATGAGCTGAACATGCTTGTTGTCCCATACCCTTCAGAGTACGCACAATAAGCGCAGCTAGTTCGAAAGGGCATCGAGGACAAAGAATAGCTTCATCCGAGGGAGAAGGATTCAGTGAGACTATGACGGGACGCGGGAGATTTCCATCTGAGGCACGACTGCTAGTACAATCGTCTGAACACTGCGAGGGAACTGAAAATATATAACGGGAAATCTTGTGAGGAAAAGAAAAATTGGAAAACAGGAAGAAGTGTACAGTGTAGAACGATTTTCTGTCAATGTGGGAAACTGTAGAAGTAAACTCTTGGATAACATAGATTTCATATTTTATTCTGTGTGCGTTGCAGACTATTGCACTATTCGATCGCGCAGTTCTCCGTAGGTCTCGTTCACGTGTGCATTCTAGCATTTGGGCAACCAAGTGCGAACTCAAAGGTGGCATTGCTCCAAGTGAACCGGTGTCCGGTTGGTTGTTTCATTCGCCTCTTCTGGAGAACCTTGCCGGGTTCTATTTACCCGACAAGGAGGCAATGGCCATATTCCGTGTCGGGCCACAATCGCCACATCACATCGCTGTCAAAATATCCGTGTGGTGTTTTGTTTGGAGAACCCGTACCACGCGGTATACCCAGCGCATCTTCGAACACTGCTGCGACCGCTTATTCAGTGAGCCTAAACCCACGGTTAAATGCGAGTTGGCAACCGTTCCCCTATCTGCGACCTGGGGACTCGCTCGGTTGCATACAGCCTTACTCTTACTGAGGTGAGGATGTCTTCGGTAATTCCTTAAGAGAGCTTGTTGCCGTTTGTTAACACAAGGTTCAGCAGATATGTCAGGGGAAGTGTGAGACAATAACAGTTTGAGGTTTGCACAAGATCTGTTACACAAGAGACCGGTGATACGGATGTTAGCTTTCTTTTGCTGTGTGTATTGATGAGTTTCATTCACGTTGCTGTAATGTTTATTTCGTTCATCGAATCCGCACCACCGAATAATGTTCGGCTTGTTTCAGGTATGATTGTACTGGGCCCTTGTTTAGCGCTTAATTGACGCGCAGATACAAACCCTAGGTCCAATTTCAAATAATGCGAAGTTTCTAATCGACCTGCACAATGAAAACGAATAATGTATAAGTAAAACAGCATACCTCAAATTGTGGGGCGATTCTGTTTTAAGTAAACAAACGTGGTGCACAAAGTCAATCAGTGACGTTCACGAAGCGGTCACCTAAAGGAATGCAATGAACGATCAAGGACAGAGTTATTTAAGGGGTCGGTTTCAACAACCACAATAACTCGGCAGAGACGGGCAACCGTTGATCGGCGCAAAGGTTAGCTCACATTCACGGTCCAAACTAAACAATGTGTAATGATAAGCTAAAGCGTATTAATAAGGTGTTCGATTATTATGTGATCAAATTAGTTGGTTTGGGGAATAACACTATGGCAAGACAGTACATGCAAGGTTGTAGACACTCATCGAATATCCAGCGGATATTGAGATTGTGAAATATGCGTAGTGCGGAGTATATAAACCACAGAAGATGTCAATGAACGTTTGAAGTTGGAAAGGCAAATCGTGAATGAATATGCACTTGACTTGAAGATTGAAATGCCCATACGATAGAGTAGACAACGACCTCACAGCGCGTGGCGCTCGGATGGTGACAGCAAAGGGTGGACAAGGTCATCAGTCATCACTACTATATATCCCCCCTCATTTCCATTCCCAAACGACAGATGGTGATTGCAGTCAGCCATGCATCTGGCTCGCTTTATATGGTTCGCTTTGCCTTGGTCGAAGCACCCGCTTACTCGTCGGTAATCGGTATGGACATTGCCAGTCCCGGTGGTCGTCTGCTGTATCGCATCGATGTATTAGAGCAAACATTACTCGCCACGAGTCCACATGCCATCACCAAATGCTCGCTCAATAGCACAGCAAAACACGTCCAATCTCATGTGGGTTCTGTGGGGTTGAAGTTGATAAGTTCAACTCAGGTCAATCCACCGGCCACAAGTACCCATACCACGCAACCATTGTCAGATTTCCGTTTGGCTACTTGTGAATTAGACGGAACTTTGGGCGTTTGGAGTTTACGACCTCCAAGACTTATCCGATCTTTTCGATTGGTAAGTAATGTTAACCAGCTCGCATTTCATCCATTTGTTCTTTTTCGTTGCCCACAGGGCGCGCTTTGTATATATTTCATGTGCGTTTCCTTGGAATTCGTCTCTCTGTGCGCCGATAATGATTAGTTGTATGCTACGATCGGTTAACCACAGCTCTCGGTTTTCGTGGATTCTGGTCGGTGATGCAGTCCTTTGTCAGGAATCACTTGAACTTAGTTGATTGGTACTTACAGGAAACACCTTTCTTGTGATTTCATTCCTTCCAACTGACGTTACTTTCCTGTTTAAATGCTCCAAATTAACCGGACAATGAAAACACGCCCACCAACTATTGTGAATATAGTTACCATTGCTAGTTGATAGAACACTTCGATGCATAAAATCGATTCCTCCCAGGATAGCGGTTTTGCACTGACGCAGACGGTTGTGGACGATGCATGTCACGCATCTAATCGGAAAAACACCCTCGGTATACGATGTTTATCGGGTTAAACAGTTACAAGATCAATCGTAAACAGACGGGTATCCGATGTGAAGTATCGAAAACCTTCACTACAGATTTTGGTCAAGCAGGTCGTACCTTATTTCAGGCTAGAGACGTGGCAACCAACCTAAACCGTGATTAGATACGCTGGGTGATATCGCCGTGTCGTCAACAAAAGCGCTCGTGTAGGGAGTTACTTTCTCCACAAACCTAGTTCACCTCGATACTTTATCTCGATAGTGCTTTCAGCTACTTAACCATTCTGTTGTCGCCTTTCCCTTTGGATGACCTAATAAGTAGACAACGACTAAAACCAGCAAACCCAATTGTTAAGTTAATGCTTGTGCGATCTGAAACTAATTAATCGTGCTTAGATCACAGTTCATTCGTTATGAATAATTTTAACCTTTCAATTCAGGTTTTGTTACACATCACCCTCTTGATGAGGATAATTTGATGGAACAGGTTGCCGATAGGTGTGGGATAGAAAATTCTTATTGCCATATGCAGCAAACCGACAACCGCATGTTGATCGACGTCACAGTCAACGGACGGCAAATTGCTTCAATTCAATTGCTGCACTCAATTCAAGTTATGTGCGTCACATTCAAAGAGGATTCGAACAATCATGTGACCGTTGTTTAAACCCACCTCTGAAGTTAAAACGTACTTATACAGGGGTGCTAGACTTATGACTACGATGTATCTTTTACTGTCCCCAGTTGTGAATACACAATCATTATTTCNTATTTCCAGCAGGCTCGGTCAATCTAAAGGCTGTGAGGGATATGCTAACTAGTTTATTTATTCCTCGTCGTTAATGGAGTTTGGAAATACAGCCTTCGAGTCGATGTGATCGTGCCTTCGATCATTTTACAGTTGTTCAGCGAGACGCGTCAATTCTTCTTGTCTTTCTTTTCACTTTACTTCCGTTTATTGAACATACAAGGATACAGTTTTCAGGAATGGGTAAGCAGCCAGTCCACGGACTGCCACTGAACACACAATGGGGAAAGTCAGGCCTTGGTGGTGGGATTCGAACACACATCCCGAAGTAATTCTTTGATGACGTTACCACTGGACCACCACCGCCCGATTATATGACTTGTAATCTTCGAAGTTTTTTTATATTCAGTTCTCAAATGCCTTTGTAATCTCATCGATGTACGCATGGTAACCGCATTTCACTTTACTTTACTTCCTCCCATCATATCACCTGACAACGCTGGATGTATATCGGCCTAGAATTTGTCTACCTTGAGTCCCTCTAACCCTATGACTTGTGTGGATGGACGCCTCGTGTTTGGTGACCAGGTGAGCTCACCGCGTTTTCACCACAGTTGTGCTTAGTTGTTGTTATATTTCAAAATAGGTTACATAGTTGTTTATTACACACCCTCGACTTTAGAAACGTGACCTCCCACTCGCTGTTTACACCGAGGTGTAATGAAAATTTTATTTGTATGCTAGTGATTCCTTCACGAGTCACTGAATCAATAGCATTCTACTGAGTTGTATCACCGTCATCTTCGTACAGCGACCGATACCAAACCTACAGCATATATATAAATTATTGTTCATCATTTCACACTGAAAGAGAACTACGTCTTCGCGGCCGCCACACTGCGACTCTTAATCCGCTTAGGTCGATAGGTGCGAACTAAGATGGGTCGAAACGCCTCGGCCACGTGGTTTGGCTCCATTGAACGTTAACCATCTAATTATTGATAGTCTTAATTATCCCATTATTCAGAGACCTGGTAATGCTCGCACTCTTTCAGACATGCGTCTGCTCGTGCAGCCAATATACCTTGTTCCACAGGAACACGTAAAAAATACTGTCAGCAGAAACAGAACTTTTATCTCATCTGCACATAAACGAAGTCACTAATTAAGGATGGGGAGCAAACGTGTTTTGCGAGAAGAGAAAGCGGATATCTATGATCAATACAGTCCAAATGTGCATTCGCTCATGCAGGTAGGAACGACAGTGCTCTTGGTTTGTTGCCATGTCCCACAGTGTCTCCGACCCACCAGTTACGCAGTCTTTTAGACCCCACTTCAGAAGATAGAAGACGCCAACTCGATCTAATCGCTGTTCTTTCATTTCTCGTTTCCACGTCATCTATTAATGAATTTATCCAGATAACTGGGAGGTTGAAACAACTTGTACTTGGGGCGCTATTTTGATAATCTATTTGGGTTGTGACACGCCGCTACTTAGATATCCATGCTTAATTCACTTTATCGTATTCCGATCAATAGCCGAGATGAACAGTCAAGCTGTTGTTTCAACCACTGGCTGCTGATAAAATGTATCACATCATACAAAGACACGTGGTAGCGCCTAGTTGCCTGATTCGTCCAGAGGAATTAAATAACTTCCTACCAGTTCCCTACTTCCGCTATGGAATGTTGCTTATGGTCACCCTCGCAAAGAACGAATCAATGCTCATTTGAGTACTAGGTTCGCTGTTAATGTCGGAATTATGAAGTGCACTCCAGTCTAACCTGCTTTTGTTCGCTATGCAATATAATTTGGCTCTGAAAAATGCGGCACATTTTTATTGCTACACATGAAATGAAGCACGACGAGTAAACCCCACTCATTTTACTCATTAAAACTGTCAACCTGATCCCTGGGACTTGAAGTGGAGAACTACATGAGAATCCAATAGAACAAGCGTTGTATTGAGCCGAAGGATAGCGATGATGCCTACCATCAAAACCTATTCGCATTATTATCAAACCAGGGTAGACGAGTAGCTAAGGCAACTTAGACAGACAGCACTGTTGTAATTGTGCTTCTTCTGGTTTTGATAAGGCTTGAGCGCGACAAAACGATTCGTTCAGGAAACCGCTTTTGTTACAGTTACAGATCCCGTAGCCGTTGATCGGAACAAGATTGTGTATATGTTGCTAACTATTCAAACCTCTCAAATGACAATTCGTCGTGTATATAGCAAATGAAGCGTGAACTGAGAAGCTCGGAAACACTGGACAGTTGTTCAAACCTCTGTTTTTATAACTTTTTTAAGTGTGTCTTGTTTTGCTGCTCAGTAACCTGATTGAACGATGCAGTGACTGAAGAGACTACCGATCCGAGCCCCCTCCCCAGATTTATCATCTCGACTTTATTCGGAAAGATCAATGGAAGGAATGTTTATAATCACTTATTTGTTTTTTTACACTGGGTTTGTAATGGATCATTCATTATGCGTAAATCAATGACTATGCTTGATTCGTCCGACAATCGAACAAACGCGTCATCAAAAGGGCTAGATGGAAGCTGCATTTAATGCGTTGCTTCATCCCTCGATGCTTAGTATGTCTGCTTCCTTAAATGTTAGGTATAGCTGTGAGATGGTACATGTCACGGTCCTTTTCAAAAACTTGATATCACACGCACCCTTAACGGTACTTCTATTACAGGGTTATCTCCGCGTTGTCAATCCTTGGACTGCAAAGTATGAGCGGTCTGTTCAACTGCTTCCGCCATCGACCACATTGTTCCAGAATTCAAGCAGTGTTTCATCAACATTACTGTGTGCTGTGCTTCGAAAGTGGTCCAGAGAACTTGTTCCGATCGGAGTGGCTGGTCCGCGGCATGGTTCTGTCGAACCACCATGCTTCACTCCACCTGAGGGCTGCATACCTGCGGCTTTGGATAACTCTCAATTCGAACTGACTTCTATACACCGTTCGCCTCTGTCTAGCGGTTCTGTTATGGTCAGTCTGGCTGATAGTGGTCGCACTCTGGTGATTGTGCCACTCACTACCCTGCAGCCCGATTGAGCAACACCCAACGCAACCGCGTGCATTACTCTCCTGACCAGCAGTTTCCCATTCTTTCTACTTCATCCCATTCACATACATGACATACTTCATCAGGTTGCATTTCCGCAGCTGTGACAAACAACCTTGGCTTGTGCAATGATTCATTCTTCTTGATACCCCCATTGGTCTACTTCACATTCCAGATTATTTTATATCAAGATGAATTGAACATATTCTCTTATCCCTTTATTCACCCACAGTTAGATTTCGTTTAATTGTCATTAACCATGAGTTTTATACTAGCTTGAGTCAGTTCGTCTTAGCAAACACTGTTTGAGAATAAGGTGCGCAATTAACAACTGATTAGATGTAGAATATGTCGTCTTCCAATCCAACTGCTTAGCAATGCGTCGAAGACATTGAAGCGCTTATAGCTGCCCATTCACAAATGGGATAAACCTGCATCGCGATATGGAACTGAAGTTTTCCTTGTACCGCGGTTGGAATAAAAGGATCAGCAAACCAATATGAAGGCAACCAGCGTATGTACCACACGACCATCTGATCGCATTCTCCTATTTCCGTCTAGTGAATCAGAACATCCACCTTATTGCTTTCATGTTTCTTTTCGGTACTTTACCTTCAAGATACATCAATATTCTTGCACCTTTAGGCTTTATTAGTTCTTCATTTCCACACCGACACTGGTTTGAACATGCCAATCTTCCCTTTACTCATTCATCTAAATGGGCAGACAGGAGTCGGCAACCGAAATCACCGCACGAAAGTGCACGGTTATTCGTGGTAAAAACCGAACTGAACTGATTCACACTAGCCTGGTCTTATGTGGGTTTGTACGCTCAATTAAATCACTAAGCGCGCAAATAAATGATGTCGACGTGCATCTATTGAGGATAAATGTTTAAATTTCAGTCAGTTCTTCGTTGGGTTTACTTGAAGAATTATCCAAGTCTGTGCTGATTTGGCGACATGATCAAGTTTAAATCAAATACACTGTTCCTATCTTCGTCATTATCGATTCAAATAAGCTGAGTGTCACTGAAGAGGACAGGAATCGTTGAATTTTGTCCATCCTAGTGTGAGCTACTTGATAGTGGTCAGATACGCGTCTTTCCGGAGTTTAGATCTTGGACTGGTCGACGGATGTCCACTGCTAGTGTGAGCGGAACTCGAGTCTAGTGAGTACATGGTTGTCCCATGAAGGTTAAATTATGAGTGTTGTTGGTTCTGAATCAGAATTCTGTTTTATTGTATTCCTCTACATCAACCAAATTTTTTATCTATTCAACACTGCAAATTTCACGAACATTTCGTGTTTGCTGACCTTCCTTTTGCTTTAGATCGGAAAGTATTCGTTTCAAAAAAGCTTTTGGGGTTGATAATTCAAAAGCTCACCACATCTCTGAGTGTACTCAAATGAACTATGGCAGTTCCCCTGCACAACACAAAAAAGAGAAAGCTGTTCACTCACAGATGTATGTACATTTTTCACAGCGTAGACAAGGCAAACTTTTGTGAGGAAAGTAGCTGGCGAATGAATCACGTTGCGGTCTTTTCTTTGTCCTTGTCCTTGAGCGATCGATAAAGCTGGCACATACCTTTTGCATCCGCAGTGGCCACGCCTACAAATTCAAGCTTTCCAGCGTCACTATTCACGCGTGTACGTTTCGTATTCCGCAGTAGTTGAACGAAAGCCATGTGGTTTACTGCTTGGAAAAGAAAAAGACACAAGTTGTGTTACTGACCACTTATTTAATGAATGACCTATGCCGAGGATTCCGGCATTGCTGAACCACAATTTTTCCCTGTACATATGTCCCACATAAATTACGCGATTCGATCTCTAGAGATGCTCCAGCCAGCACCATGACGCAACCAAAAAGAGAATAATGTGTACAAGATGCTTCATCACATTATTGTTCTCTTCAGAATGAACCTGTACAGAAATTGATCAACCTCGTGCTTCGTCTGTGTACTGGTGACGAAGATACATTTTCTCGTTTCCGAACTACTTTCACTGTTATGCTGTTATACTGTATCACAAGAAGCAAAATGTTTCTTCATTGAATTGCGAATCTCATGCAAATACAAGCTTAACAGTTCTATAAAATGCGTGACTGCATGCAGGTTGATCTGAGAAAACGTATTTGCTGGCGAAATCATGTGATCGCTGACAAAAACACTAGACGATTGTTTTGGCCTTGTCGGGATTCATCGGCAGTGCGTAGATTTTTTTGTCACGTTTCTAAATGGCTAAACGTCGGATTGGGAATGTTTGGGAGCTACTCTGTGATCAGGAAACTGCTTGAGGGTATGGGTGCAATAATTAATTTAATATAGCCTTGTTTTAGTAAATGCGAATTCGAAGACAGTGTATGATGCCGGTGAGAAATCGATGATTTCCCAGAAAGTGGAACCTAAATGATCAATGGGCAATCGTGTTATTTCTGAACTCCCGTGGGTTAAACCAAGAAAATAATTACTGATTTGGGATGTGAAACAGTGTTAAAGAAATGTGATGCTAACTCACCCGGTTCAATGAGAACACTGTCTTTCCGGTCCATGGCATCTGCGCTCGTAGATGTGTGTCTGTTGGAAAAAAGGATGAAACCTTGGATGTATAGAAACATACGTCCTTGTGTGTTAAATAAACAATCAAAGAATTCTCAAGGATCAACTTCAGGATAACGATTAGTGGTTACTGTTGTGATGGAAGGCCGTACAAAGAGAGTCCTGGTTAGCGACTGAGTCAAGAATGAGGCTCAGATGCAGCGGCGGGAAGTGCCTCGCGAGACTGTTGACTGCCACGAGCGAATCGACAATTACAGCCCAACAGACGATCCGCAGCTAACGGGAAAGATACCCACCGAACGCCACAACGTTGGAGCTGCCGATCAACGCAGCGCCGCGATCGGGTCAAACCAGTCGGAATGGCACGCGGAAGAAGAGGCAACGTACGTGCAAGTGCGGACCAAAACCAACAAGGAATGACCCACAGAAAAAAGCATGAATCATCCCGCCACGCGGTCGAGAATTGACTTTATATAATCGAACGCATACACTGTTTGTTTTCGAACTGAATCAATAGAAGTTTTTCCCCAGCCCGCTCGCCTTCTCGTTACACTGCTGTCAGCGCAGAGAGTTTCAAGGGATGAACACCGACGTGATGCAAAAAATTTTATTGTTTTACGGCACTTTTTGATTTTCTTTATTACACACCTTAGTGTAGTGAACAGCAGACGGGGTAAACCCCAAAGTCACGAGGACCCGCTGTTCAGTGACGCACTCGGGACTTGAAGTGGCGAGCCACATAAGGCCCTTCTAGGATAGGTGTGGTATTGAACGGGACGACAACAAAGCTACCTACCACCAAGGTTGGGCTCGAACCCCGTACTACGGGGTCCAAGCACGCCGGTGACAGCGACTAAATCACCACCCTGAACGACCCATCCCGTTTGGCCGTATTGAGTATGATGACCACATAACTCATTAGCCTATAGGAGAACCAAATGGATTTTACTTGTGACTTTGCTTAAGCCAATTTTACCGGAATATAGCGCATTCTAGATGCCATGACTACAGTGACGCAATCGCCACCAGAGTCATGCCATCTGATTAACGGACATGTCTACTTGAGAGAACCAGGTGGTTAGGAGATCCAGTCGCATGAACCATGAATGGAATCAGTCACTGCGTTCGAGCGATAAGACCGTAATTTGCCCCACAGGCCTCAACCTAACCGTGAAGAATGCTTCTTAACATTTGATTGATGAAGTGAATTTCGGGGGTTTGGGTTTCAGATATACTGAGTAAGTATAGCGTGTGATAAAAGGACCCACCTTTTCCGAGAAACTGGCATGTTGGATACCTCGGCAGACATCGTTTTATCTCCAACTAGGTGTCGGCATAGCATTTTGAGCGAACCCAAAGTTTGGCATAACTGCTCTGGAACTGCTAGACTGACCGGAACCGAATGTCCACTTGCAATTTTCTTACCCACCGTAACCATTTCGGTTAAGTCCATAAGCGCAAAAGGGCGTTCCGTGCCATTGTTTCCATTGGTGCTTCGTGAACCGGAATCGCCGGTTGCAGACGATGAAGAATTCAAAATTGTGCGCCAATGTCGTAAAAGACTGTCGTGTTCTGTTGACAAGTTGGAATATATAGAAAGCAAATGGTCCAGTTCAACAGCTAATGCCACCGCTTCCGCCTGCAAGGAAGGGGCGACGGGGAGAGCTTGAGCAGTCCTTTAAAAAAAAATGTGATGGGAAAAGTGAAAACAAAGATGATTCATTACACACCAAGCTTACTTTAAGGAACAAAGCACTTTACCACAAATTCGAGCCTGTGAACAAATTTCACCCAACTCTCCGTGGGTTTTCTCTGAGGAACGTTCAGTCAATCTACAAATATCAGAACCGATAATGTCAAAACCGTAAACCGAGTAGGAAATTCTATCTTGAGAGTCAATTGATTGTCCTCTTACGAGCTAATCGACAAAACCAATTGGACCGAGCAAGCTCTGGCCAGGTATTTTCCACAAAGCAAAACGTTGGAAGTAGCCTTAAAACCGTGATTGTTATGCGTGTTGTTTATCGCTCGACATTGAAGTGAAAACTTCACACTGAATCTGTGCGACATCATGGGCTTGAATAGTACTAACTGGTGTGCATGTGTTTCCATCCGCGAGTGGGTTCAGTTTAATTTATTGGTGTCCTATCACAGCCGCACGTAGTACTATACACTAACATGGATTTTAGGCAAACTGTTAAAAATTAAATACGGAAGTAATTAACTAACCGTTTTGGTCCAGGCTTACGGGTATCCGACGACAGCGAGACGTTGTGTTTCAAAGAATTAAACAGTTTGTCGATAGCTTCTGAACAGGCGGAAACTTCATTCGGCTCCAGATATTCCTTGGGCAAATGTTCGAACAATGGATTACCCAGCTAGAAAAAAAGTGCAACAAAAAGAAAGATTGATTTACCTTGTTTTACAGAAAATGAAAACAGGTTTCCATGAGTAGTGCTATTCGTGATGTATGGGAACGAAAGACAACTCGTAATTGGATGCAAAGTAGCACAATATATAGTGAAACAATAAAAATTTTATTATTCTATTTCTACATTAAACGATATGATTATGTCGAGTCCCCAGTTTAGTTCAGTTTGAACAACCATTAACCATGAATCTTCGTATGACGGTTTTGGTTGCTGTCTTTAGTCCGACCATTTGGATGAAGAATACGAGAGAGAAAAAGGAAAATTGAAAGTGGAGTCGAAAAGAAAATGGAGAAGTTCAGTGGTCTAAGGTTGCGAAGAAATTGAGGAGATGCACGAACGCCACTGTTTACGACACCCAGCCATATCGCTCAGTGTCTCTAACCATCGGTTACGATCATCCTGAGGTCCCCAGCCAGGAAGACTAACAGGACCTATGTGACCCAGTTTCCTGGTTAGGGTTTTCATACCCTCGTGCCAGGTCTTAACTTGACCACCCTTGGCATTTTTCCACTCGTTATCTGCTTCGGCGAACATCGCTCGCCGTGGTAACCCACTTGGTGACATGCGTAACACATGTCCCAACCAACGTAATCTATGGAGGTCGACCACCTGCTCCAGTGGGCGACCGCTGATACCCAAATCTCTGCGTCTAGCCTCAGTATTGCTCGTCCGGCTACCCCACCAGATTCGTGCAATGCTGCGTAGACAGCGGTGTTCAAACACCGACAGTTTATGTTTATCCTGTTTTCACAATGGCCAAGATCCTGCGCCGCATAGCAGAACTGCCGTAGCATACACTTGACCCTTCACAGACAGCCGGATGTTACGACGGCGCCACAGATGTCTCAAGTTGGCAAATGCCAACTGAGCCTTCGTTATGAGAGCTGACACTTCATCCGTGATACGTCCACCGGGTGAGATGTAGCAAGTAACAAACCTTCTCGGCTTGCTCTATTACTTCCCCGATTAGAGTGAGGTTGGGTGCTAGACCAACTCAATTTTGTAGCAGCGTTTTACACTTTGAAGGTGCAAAACGCATACCGAACATAGCTACGCTGGCGCTCAAGCTATCCAGGAAAGTTTGCAACTTACATGCATCTTTACTTAGCAGCACAGTGTCGTCTGTATACTACAGATTAGACAGTCCGAGCTACGAGAACACACTACCCAGATACAGGAGCTTTAGAGTTGCTACATGATCGATGGAGAAGTACTGATCTTAGAAGAATGATGATGATCAAATTATTGAACAATCAGCTTAGAGGGTAATTCGAAAAATAGGCATCAGTTAACATCGACGTCGTCATTTTAGAACAGGTCCGATTATAAAATGTACCCTGAGAGACCAAATAAGTACAACTTTATAGTAACCGTATTTTCCAACTAATTACTTCAATTCTCGACAGTATTCAGTTTAAACCAAGTCCAAAGTTGTTATGCACACGTAAGCCATTATGTGGACCTTATTTTTTTCAATTATAGGCGCATATCTCGCTCGGTAAATTTACCATGACCAGCGTCACACATGAACAGTTTTGGTTGTTGTTCACATCCGTTTGGTTTTCCGCCTCTAGCCGTATTTGCCACCAAATCGCATAGGCAACTTAGCAAAAACCGGTTTGCGTTCCGAGTCCAAGCAGGTAAACCAATACGAATGGCAGTCTTTCACACATCCTTTCGAAACAGGAATGCCATGCACATACTGCCAGAAGACTTTTAACGCTGCATGCGCCAAACTATCCATGAAAAAGATGAAGCACATGCTGGCACAAGACTGTTTTTGGTTTTGCAGTGATTGTATGAAGACTCCGGTGATAAAATACATTAT